GTCCCCATATCGGTGCACAATACTACTCCCAAAATACTCAGCTCATATGTTTTTTTTAAAAGAAACTCTTCTTGTGCTTTGAGATAATTACTCAAAAACTAGCTCAAAAGCTATCTACGAAATTGGTGTTTCCTCTGTTGTTTAAATGTGAAATCATTTACTCTTTGGGAATACTTAGTTCCCATATACTCTTTTTGAAGAAATAAAATTCATTTGTTACTCTTACTTAACTCAAAACTCAAGTCTTAAAACAAGATTAAAACATTTGCCAAAGACTTCTTGAAAAGACTCTATGAACTTTTTAGACTTGGCTCTTAACTTTCCTTGAATTTGAATTTATGGATTCAAGGTTATGATTCATGTTTATGGATGATTTCTAGGTGTTAAGAAGTTATTTAGAGTAGTTAGAATCAATAGGAACTGTCAGTACCCTTTAGAAGTACTTAAACGGGCTAAACGACGAAAAATGGGTTGGGGCGGACGGACCTGGCGCACTGCAGGCGCGTCGCCCCAGCCCTTCTGGTGGAATGGGGGGGCACCGCGCCAGCATTCCCCTAGGCGAGTCTGACGAATTTTTCCTCTCGTTTTTAGACCTTAATTCGATTAATATCGATTCTTTTTCTCAGTATCTCTTTAGATTCAGGTACCCAATACATACACACAAGAATCTAACTCAAAACAACTCTAATAATCGACAATAAACTCTCAAGAACTCCTCAATCTCAACCGAAATTCAAGAATGAAAGCAATTCAAGAACACACATCAAGAACATGCAAACTTCCAATCTTTTTAGGACGAATTCACGTTAAAATAATATGTTTGACACGTGGGTGAATGAACCCAACGTTATAAAAGTCTCACATACCTCGTATGATTGAATCCTTGGCAAAATCCACAACCAAAATCACAAGAACTTGACGAATCTTAAACCTTTCTTCTCCTTTCTCCTCTTGAGTTCTTTCTCCAAAAATCCTAGCTTTAATTTCCAATTGTCTAAACTGAACCAATTCATTTTAGACCCCAATTCAAATTCTAAAATCGAATTAACTTAATTGGGTATGGAAAAAACCAAAATACCCCTTAAAAATCTGGTTTTGACTTTCCTTATCTAGACAGCTCAACTTCAAATGGGAATATCTCCCTCATATGAACTCGAAAGTGAGTAAACTCGGTGGCGTTGGAAATATAATCCAAAGATATTTCCTACGGTATCTTGTAGCACACCTAATCATCCTGAGCTAGGAGTTATGGTTGTTTGAAGTTGACCCAAAACTCAAGCTTAACATAACTTAAACAAATTTCCAAATTTTTCATTCTTTCCAAAAATGACTCTTTCTGATTCTAGATCTTTCACTTAGCGAGGTGTTACAATATCTCCCCCATGGAAACATTCTCCCTCGAATGAGGTCACTCAAAGTAGACTAAGGGTGTAATATCTAACATCTAGCTCAAACACCGAACAAGCAAAATTGTAAATACAACATGCCAACTTAAAATAAATGCCAAGAAAAGGATTAGTACCTTAATTTAGAACTTCTCCGGATTCGAAGAGATGTGGTATCTCTTCTTCATATCCTCCTCAACTTCCCAAGTAGCTTCCTCGACAAACTGATTTTTCCATAGAACTTTGACTGATGCTACCTCTTTTGTTCTCAACTTGCGAAATTGGTGATCTAGAATCTGAACAGGAATCTCCTCATAAGATAAGATATCCTTGATACCAATATCTTCAGTAGGTATGATAATTGAAGGATCTCACACGCACTTCTTCAATATGGAAATATGAAATACCGGATGGACCGCTACTAATTCTTGTGGTAGCTCCAACTCATAAGTTACATTGCCAATCCTCTTGGATATTCTGTAAGGACCAATGTACCGGGGGATAAGCTTCCACTTCTTACCAAATCTCATAACACCCTTCATGGGTGAAACTTTCAAGTATACCCAATCATCTACTTCAGACTCTAACTCCCTTCTCCTAACATCAGTGTAGGATTTCTGATGACTCTGCGCTGCTTTCAACCTCTCTTGAATAATTTTCACTTTCTCCATAGCTTGATGAACTAAGTCTGGTCCTATCAACCTAACTTCACCAACCTCGAACCATCCAACTGGAGATCTGCATCTTCTCCTATAGAGAGGTTCATAAGGAGCTATCTAAATGCTAGAATGATAATTATTGTTATAAGCAAACTCAATGAGAGGTTGGTGATCATCCCAATTACCTTTGAAATCAATCACACAAGCCCTCAACATATCTTCTAAAGTATGGATAGTGCACTCTGCTTGACCATCAGTTTGAGGATGAAAAGCAGTACTTAAGTTCACCTTTGAACCCAAGCCTTTCTGAAAAGATTTCCAGAACTGTGCAGTAAATTGTGTCCCTCTATCTGATATAATCGAAACAGGGACTCCATGCAGTCTTACTACCTCTTGAATGTATAACTTAGCATAATCCTCTGCTTAATGGGTAGTCTTTACCGGCAAAAAGTGGGCCGATTTGGTCATTCGATCCACAATCACCTAAATAGAATCATGTTGCCTGCGAGACTGTGGCAAACTAGTAATAAAGTCCATATTGATCATCTCCCACTTTCACTCCAGAATCTCTATATTCTGAGCCATACCACCGAGCCTTTGATGCTCTTCTGTAACTTGTTGACAATTCGGGCATTTAGCAACGAACTCAACAATACCTTTCTTCATACTATTCCACCAGTACACTTCTCTAAGGTCATGATACATCTTTGTGGAACCCGGATAAATGGAATATCTGGAGCTATGAGCTTCCTCCATGATCCTCTCTTGAAGTTCATCCACCCTTGGTACATACAATCTACCTTGATATCTCAATACACCGTCTCCCCCTTGTTCAAAAGCCATCACTTTTTGCTTATGAACATTTGCCTTTAACTCAAGCAAAATAGGATCTTGGCCTTGATTTTCTTTCACTTTTGCCACTAATTATGATTCAGCCCCATTTATCACCACTACCCCTCCTTCTGTGGAATCCATTAAGCAAACTCCCAATCGTGCAAGTCTATGCACATCTTTTACTAGTTCTTTCTTCTCTTCCTCAAAATGGGCAGTACTACCCATAGACAACCTGCTCTAGGCATCAACAACAACATTAGCCTTACCTGGGTGATAGAGGATACTCATATCATAATCTTTGAGTAACTCTAACCACCTCCTTTGTCTGAGATTAAGCTCTTTCTGACTAAATAGATACTGAAGACTCTTGTGATTGGTGAACACATCTACATGAACTCCATAAAGATAATGACGCCAAATTTTCAAAGAAAATACCATGGCAGCCAACTCTAGGTCATGGGTTGGATAATTCTTCTCGTGAACTTTCAGCTGTATGGAGGCATAAGCTATAACTTTGCCATTCTACATTAACACAAAACCTAAAACAACTCTCGAAGAATCACAATATACAACAAAACCTTGAGTACCTTCTGGTAAGGTCAATACTGGGGCAGTAATCAATCTCTTTTTCAATTCCTGAAAGCTTTTCTCA